GTGCCACTGCCAACCCCGCTGGGAAGGGCCGCAGCGAGTCTCTCCCACGCTCACCTGCCTTGGCTCCCGCTGACCCCAAAGGCCTAGAACCCAGGTCCGGCGGGGAAGACAGTTGGGGAGTTTTGGGTCACCAGCCGCAGGCAGCCCGGGTCTGGTTAGAGCACTTACTTTCAAAAATAATGAAGACGTCCGACTTCTTTAAAAGAGGGTAGTGAATGATATGGAAAATATGACACTCATTACAGACACGGAGGTCCCTGCCTGCCAAGCTCCTCTGGCTTCACCTCCGCAGGGGCAGGGCAGACAGAGGCCTTGGGGATGGGCGCAGACAGGGGCGGACGGGGACCAGCCTGGGGTGACCTGGATAGAAGAGCCCCCAGGGCAGCAGGAGAGGGGCCCAGGCCCAGGGACGCCCACTCAGCTCCATCAGGGCTACTCAGAAGGGAGTTACCTGCTGTTTGTTTACCTAGATCCTTTATTTCTGACCCAGAGAAGAGAAAAAGAAAGAAAAGGCTGGGATCATAGTAGCTGGAGACCTAGAGGGGTCTGCGGGGACGTGGGGGGCACGGCGGGGGAGCGGGGCCTAGGGGAGGGTGGCTGGGGCGGGGAAGGAGGGTGGCTGGGGGGAAGGAGGGTGGCTGGGGGGCTGGGTGCCTGGGGGAAGCGGGAAGGAGGCGGGTAGCGGGGTTGGGGGAGGTCGGCTGGGAGAGCTGGGGGCCTCCCCGCCTCCGGCAGCGCCGCCGACCCTCTGTCCCGAACGACCCCGTCCACGTCGGTGCCCCGGCCGCGCCCTCCCCCGGGTCCCCGCCGCGAGCGCTGGGAGGAACCACGTCCGAGCCCAGGACGTCCCGCACCGAAGCCCGCCCGGCCGCAGGCGCCTCTGCCCGGGGCGCGCCGGGGCCCTCCTGGGGTCCCGGGGGAGCGACGAGGACGCAGAGGAGGCCTGGGCGCCCCCAAACCCCGGCCCAGCCCCGCGCCCCCCGCGCCCCCCGCGCCCTCCCGGCCCGACCCACCTGGGGCGGCCGCGGCGGCGCCCTCGTCGCGCTGGTTAAACTCGAAGAGGAACTCGAAGTCGAACTCCTGATCCTCCAGCCCCGTCATGGCGCGGCCGGGGCCGGGTCGAGGTCGCCGCGGCCCGGGGTTCGGGGCTCGGGGCTCAGCGCTCCCGGAGCTGGCCGCGCGTCCTCCGCGTAACGTGACCCCCGCCCCTCCCCCGTTACCGCCCCGCCCCCGCCCCCCCGGGGCGTTTCCGGGTTTACATAAACAACCGGCTCGCGGCCGCCGGCTTCCGAGTTTTAAATAAACTCCCCGGGCGGAGCGCCGGCCGAGGGCTCGCGTCCCTCCCGCGCCCCCCCGCCCCTCGCGCGCTCGAGCGACCCCTGGGGTCCTCTGGCCTCGTGCGCTCTGGGGGTCCCAGCCCGACGCAGACTCCTCCCACACGGGGTGGGGGCGTCGGAACCCCCGGCCACTCCGGCCTGGCCAGCTCGGCCCCAAGGGGGGGCAGGACCCGGAACCCCGCGGTCCCGCCCCCGGGGCACAGGCGGCACCAGGCTCACGAGGCTGCGCCCGGGGAGACCGAATTTGTTTAAAAGTTTTTTTTCTTAAGTTTGGAATCGGGCCTCCTCGGGAAAGTGGTGGCCCCGAGGGCCACTTGCGCGCCCCGCGGAATCCCGGGAAGGGGGGGCGACCCAGCCCGAGGTCGCCAACGCTGGGAACCCCGATTTCAGCCGGACGGCGCCGGGAAGCGCAGGGTTTCCAGCCGGGTGCGTGGCGCACCCCTCGGCCTGCAAACCCCTGCGGGTCCCCGCCCCACGGGGAACCCGTCGTTCCTTCTAGGGGCACCTCCAAAGACGACCTCCTTGAGCAGGGCAGGAAGGGTGGGACCCCAGGCGGCCCGAAGCTTGTGCGCGGCGGGGAGCGGGAAGGCCGGGCTGCTGCCGCCCCCGCCGCGTGTTCTAACTCCCCCCAGGGTCTGGGCACCGTGTAAACCCGACATCTGGAACAGCAGGAGGATGGTGGGAGGATGTGCGGCGGTGGGGTTGGCCCGGAGGGAGGGGTGCGGGTGTCAAGCCTGGCCAGCCCAATACTCATCGGAGCGCTGCGTCGGGCCTGGCCTGCCCCGCCAGCACTGCCTATTTCCAGAGGCCAGAAACCTGCCGCGACCCTTTCGATGGATGGGTTCTCCAGTGATAAACCATAGTTCGGCGTGGCCTGATTTAGTTTCTAATAATAGTCCTCACTTTGCATGGATGTTGGAGGGTTGTTTCGCTTTAGTTTGCTGTTTTTGCTGACCCTGGGCAAGTGGAGTTCTGTTTTGTCGGGAAACCACGTTGTTTCATTTTCTCCCTTTTCATTGCACAGTTTTGTTTGTTTCAGGGTGAGTCTCACTGCAGGCTGGAGTGCACTGGTGCGATCTCGGCTCACTGCAACCTCCGACTCCCGCATTCAAGCGATTCTCCTGCCTCGACTTCCCGAGTAGCTGGGATTACAGGCACGCCCCCCCCCACGCCTGGCTAATTTTTGTATTTTTAGCAGAGACGGGGTTTCACCATGTTGGCCAGGCTGGTCTTGATTTATTGACCTCGTGATCCACCTGCCTCGGCCTCCCAAGGTGCTGGGATTACAGGCAGGAGCCATGGCACGTGGCCTGTACTTTTTTTTTTTTTTTTTTTTTAAACTCCAGCACCTCTTTATTTCCACCGAAAAATTATACACAAATGACAGCCCTTATCAACTGTTTAGAGTGACACTTTTTGCTAAACTGTCCTGCCTGCTGGTGGCCCCAGGGGCTGTGGGCCCTGCAGGGATGGAGGCTCACCGGGCTGTCCTAGGGCTGCATCCCAGAGGGATGCAGGGGCCGCTGCCCTCCCCCTCCCCCCGCCCCGTGCTGGCCTTCCTGCGAATGCTTCAGAGCTATTGGTCTATATTCAAAGTTGCCCGTTTCTCAGACACTGGGTGTCTCCACGGAAGTGTTTAGCTTGGATGCATCGTCCCAGAGGCTGGGGATGTCTGCGGAGGCAGAGACCCACTGGGTGTGATGAATCGGGGTGCCAGCACCATGCCACTTTCTAATCTGGGCTGGGAAACAACGCCGTGGAGTGGCAGAGAACAGAGTGAGCTTTGTTTGTCCCAGCCCGTGGGGAATTCTGTCTGGAGCGACTTCTGACTGGGTGGCTGCCTACAGGCCTGCACCTCTGCATTCTCCGTGAGGAAGCAAGCCTGGGCCTTCAGGAACCTCGGTGCCCAATGAGCTTCCACCCAGATGGGCCTGAAACCCAGGGACTCGGGGGAGACGCCCAGGCCTTCAGATGGGCCGAGGACGGCCTCGTGGGGCCTACTCAGAAGGACCCAGAGCTTTCCCAGTGGCCTCCGCGATGGCCAGTGTTGAGGCCACGCGTGCCCCGTGCCGGCCTCAGTCAAGGACTGGATCACTCTTTCCTAGCGGCTCAGTCTGCAGAACTCATCAAATACCCCAATGCCGGGTAGGGGCTCACTGCCCAAGCGCACTGCCTGGCAGCGGGGCTTTTCCAGCTGCTTTCCTTCGGTAGGAAACACGAAAAACTGCCACTATCCTCGCTATGTTTTTTTCACAGGGTAAAAGGGCTCCTTACTAACTACAGGTCGACCACCCGCTCTTCAGGTACCGAGATCTGAACTCAGAAAGACCTGCCTTTCTCAAGGGAGTGAGCATGAACGCCGGGAGTAAGTGTCCCAGGATTTAAAACCGAAACTCCAACAAGAAACATTTTAAAACTCTGCTACCAGCAAGATCACATTGTGTAAACATCGACACAGGCCATGATGTTTAAACATGCGAACTTTTTCTAACGTCGGGGTGAAATGGTGAGGAGGCTCAGGGCACTGACCACTCGGATCCCCTCCGTGGAGCTCACGGCCCAGCGCTCAGCTCTGCTGGGACCAGCGAGTTCTCCGGGGCTGCGGAGCCCGGTTCTGCAGCCAGCCCCGCAGCGGTTAGCGTGGCGCAGGAAGCGGCAGCGCTCGGAGGGACGTCGGCCCTTATGAAGTGCACAGGTTGGCAGGTGTGCCGGCGCTCTTTAAGTAAATCACATAAAATATTTCAGAGCTGGTGAGGAGTCTGGAAAAGCGTCTCCCAATTTCCATTAGCATCTGCACCCCCAATCCCTGACGAGGACGCTCACACCTCTCCCGGGGTATTTTCAAAGCCAACTGCAGGAGCCCACCCGGCCTCCCCAGGGGTGTGTGGAGGGGACGGATTAAGGGGCGGGGGCCGGAACGTGAGGCTGCGCTGCAGGGGGGTCTCAGCGCCCCCGACACCCGGTTTCAGAGACACACATGGTGCCGCCTTTTTTTTTTTTTTTCTTCACTATAAAGCAGCAGCTTGAAACTTGGCGGTCCCTTTTTAAACTTGCCTGAAACATCTGTGGCTGGAACTCCTGCGCATAGCGTTTCAAAATGTCTTAAATTCGGGGGTGTGCTGCGGCCGCGCTTTGGGTCCTGCAGGTTCAGGCGCCGGCGTGACGGGCTCGGCCCTGGGGCGCTCGGGAGCGCAGCTCGGGGGAGAGGTGGCCCCGAGCTCAGGGTGGGGGTGGGAAGGTGCTGAACCCCAAACCGCGCTCTTGGTGCCAAAGGGTGGGCCTGCCTCGCTCCGTAGGACACAGGGCATCTTTCACTCCGAAGGAAGCCTCCCTTCCTCCCACGTGTCCTCTGCGGTCCCGCCGGCCCCAGCCTCACCCGTCCCCAAATCGCCGGCCTGGGAGCCGTTCTTCGGCGGGACCCGCTGCGGCCCCGACCCGGCTCGCGCCCTCAGCGCTGGGGCAGAGGAGACACCTATTGGCAAGAAGGCGCGCTCGGAACCGGGTGCGGGCAGCTGGGGGACGCTGTTCCCGGTCCGCGCCGCGCCCTTCCCTGGGCTCACAGACCCGGCCGGCCTCGCCCAGGGGCCGGGACCCCTCCGTGCGGACGGCGGGAGCGGGGCGGGGGGCGCGGTGTTCCGGGGGCGGCGAGCGCGCGGGGCTTACCTTCCTCCGCCGACTTCATGGTGCGCGGCGCAGGCCCCAAAGTTTCTCCGCTCCCGAAGACCGCAGCCGCAGGGCCGAGTGGAAACTTGGAAGGGACTGGAAAACTGGTGCTTGGCATCCGCGCGGCGGCGGCGGCGGGGAGCGGGGCGGCGGGCGGAGGCGCGGGAGGAGCGGGCGCCCCGAACCGCCGGGGTCGGGTCTCCGGGAAAGGCAGCCCTCGCCTCGGACTCAGCGCCGCGCGGCCGGGAGGAAAGTCATCGGGGGGGCGTGTGCGCGCGTGGCGGGGCCCGGCCGCGGCCCTGGGACCTGCGAGGTGGCTCCGAGCCCTGCGCCCGCCGCCCTGGTGCCCGCGCCCGGCCGCTGGGATCTGGCGCGGCGACTCCGCGGGCGAATTCGGAGCCTCTGAGTCTCGCTCTGACGCAGGGCCGCGCTCTGCCTCCTGCCTTTTTAAAGCTGGAAAACACCTCCCCCGCCTCCCCGCCAGCCCGGCGGCTCCCGCGCCCCCTCCCTGCCGTGACATCACGCCGCTGCTGCCCCGGCCCGCGCTGGGCCCCAGGGACGAGGCTCGAGCGCCCGCCCCTCCTCCCCGCGCCGCGGCAGCCGCCCGCCCGGGGGCAGGGGCGCACAGGGAGGGTCGCGCGCGGGAGGGGGGCGCACGGGGAGGGGCGCGCACGGGAGGGAACGTTGAGTGCGTTCGGGAGGGGACAGGGCGCACGGGAAGGGCGCGCACAAGAGGGGGGCGCACGGGGAGGGGATGGGGGCGCAGGGGCGCCTGGGCCGTACAGGGGGGATACGGGGGCTGGCGGGGGAAACGGAGGGAACAGGCCAGACGGGAAGCCTAAGTCCACGTGCGTGTCCGGAGCGGGCCGGTCCTGCTCTGAAAAGGGGCGGGGGGCCGGGGAGGGCTACCGCAAAAGCCCGACATGCTGAAGTCATTATGTAAAATCGCAGGCTTCCCCCGCTGTGGAAATTTGGAAAAGCGCTTCACTGGCAGGCCCTAGAAAGGAAATTCCCATCCCGCTAAATTACTAACAGATTGCGTGGCCGTCCCGGGACGTCGAGTTATTGTCATTTTTATTCTGTAAATATCTGCACGACCCAGACTGGCCGTGGCGGGGCCGGCGTGGGGAGGCCGACGGACGCGCTCACCTGCAGGGGAGGACGAGCGTTTTACGGGCGCGACCGCGTGGCTCTGCGGGCGGGGAGGACGGCCCCAGCCACTTCACACTTTCCCCTTTCCCGTCTCCCCGCGTCTCCCCGGGCGCAGCTCAGATGCCAACGCGGCACCGCATTTTCTTGTGGGCTTTGCATGGAAGGGGTTGGCGGCTAAAGTGTCTGGTGTGTAGAAATCATTAATCGACCGCACGTCACCCACATGTGATACCCAAAGGCAAAAATCCTGTCTGCGGCGGGGCCCAGGAGGTCCGCAGACCCCCGGGGGAGCACCGTGCCCCGTGGGTGCCCCCACAAGCGCCGCCCAAGACTCGGGGGAGGCCGGGTACGCGATCGGGAGCTGCAGAACCGTGAAGGTGCGCGGCCAGAGCCGTCCATCCGCAGCCCGAGGCCTGGCTCCATTAGGCCGCCCCGACCCAGCACCAACAGAACCCGCTTTTCCACCGCAGGCCTCGGCCTGGAGACGCGCGCCCGGAGAAGCGGGGTGGGGGCTCTTTCCAGGGATCGCTACCTGCGGGGCCCCTCGCGCGCCGAGCCAGGCCTGGCACCGCCCCGAGGCACCGGGCCTCGGGAGAGAAGGGGACCGCGCGAGGGCGCCCAGGCGGGTGGGCGGGGGTGGAGGCCTCGGGGGCTCCAGCGAGGCGGCCGCCAGGGGACGCCCGGGCCGCGCCCCCCAGCCCCCCGCGCCAAACCTTCCCGCCGCGAGTCTCGGTGTCCCCAGGCCTGGAGCCAGGATTTGGCCGGGAGAGTTTCCGTCTCCTCCCCGCCCCTCTTTCCCCCAGCTCTGGGACGGGGCGGGCGGAGACTCGCCGGGAGGAGGGAATCCCGGGGCCGGGTCTGGGGGACGCTCCCAGCCGGTCACGTGGGAGACGGAGCCCCCGACCCTGCGGCGGGCCTGGAGCCGGGTCCGACCAGGCCTGGCTGCTCCTGGCTCCCGAGGGGCCGGGACCGGGGCGGGGGCGGCCGCTCTTCCTCCTCCTCCCGCCCCTCCCCTTCCTCCGCTGCCTCCTCCTCCTCCCTCAATAAATAATTTTTTCACCCCTTGCAGAAAAGCTCCGTTTTCCTGTCTGCGCTGAAAGCCCTCCTTATCCCCCCGCCCGGGTGACGGAATCCCGGGTCTGTTTCTCTCTGTTTAATGCCGTTGCCGGGACCACGGTGGCCGCGCGCCAGGCGCTGGGAGTTCCGGAGGCGGCGGCCCCGAGTGCGGCCAGCTCGCCCGGCCTGTGCGCCCCGGCCCGGCCTCTGCGGCCACCGCGGGCCCCCGCTCCGCCCGCCTCGCTCCCCGCGCGCCCTGCGCCCCTTCCTCTGCCTCCTGCCTCCTCGCAGGTTTGTTTACAGCCGCTACTAGGGGAGACGTTACTCGGGTTTTATTTTAGGATTGGTGATGACTAACAAAGTTAAAAGGAGCTTAGGACAGAAAACAAGACTATTTTTAGATTACTGTTGTTTCTATGGATTATTGGGGCAAATACACCCCTAGAAGCTTACCGTTTTAAAAGCCCCTTGGGGTGCCAAATCCCTTCTCCTGCAGCGCGCTCCGGTATTCATCCACCCCGTCCAGTATTTTCTGGAGACTGGACAGTCACTGTTGCTGGGGCTTCCTGACCTAACCTGTGAGCACCACGGCTGGGGAGACGCCATGCTGGCTGAGTGGCCCCGAAGCTCCACGCTCCGTCCCGTCCCGTCTTCGGAGGGCCGCTGCCACCTGCTCTGAGTGGGGCTTTCCACACTCAGGAGCGCTCGGCACACGCGGCGCCGCGTGGGGCCCCCAGGCAGGTGCGTCGGCCAGGCGCGGGTGCGCCCACCCTTTCCTCCCTCCACCGAACCGCAGGCCAGATGCAACTTCCTGCTCGGGAAAATCACTTAATTCAATGCAGTTCGCTGCGAATGCTTTGTTCCTGCAGTTCTGCATTCTGGCCCACGGCAGGGTCACTTTAGAGCTGCTCCCACGAGGGCCCTTTGAGGGTCTGACTCAACTCGGAATTCCAGTGTGGATCCACCCCCTTCTTCCTGAGGCACCTTCCAACCATCAGGGAAGGCCCAGGATGACCAGAGACTCCCCATCTGGAGAAATGCGCATTTATTCAGCCAGAGTCTGGGAATTAGGATTAAATTAGCAAACCGGAATGATAGAAAGGGCTATTTACTTTTAAGTAAACTGCTGAGTACTTTTTTTAAGTCAGTGTGAATGAACCTCAGCCGTGGTTGGAGCTGAAAAAGAAGGATTTCCCTTTAGTTACACACCTGTGTCCGCACCTTCCGACTTTCCTTCTAAAGCCTGGGTGTTCCTGAGGATCCACAGATTTGAGGTTCAGAGTTCCTACACCACGCTGTTACTTGCAAAACATCTTTTTAACCGTGTCCTGGAGTTGCCCAAGAGTTCAAGACCAGCCTGAGCAACATAGCAAGACCTCATCTCTACAACAAAATAAAATAAATTAGGCAGGTGTGGTGACATGTGCCTGTAGTCCTAGCTACTCAGAAGGCTGAGCCAGGAGGATCACTTGAGCTTAGAAAGTTGGGGCTGCCATGAGCCCTGTTCATGCCACTGCACTCCAGCCTGCAAGACAGAGCAGAAAAGAAAGGGTCAATCAGGACCCTGGGCAGAGGGAGGGGAGGGGACTGGGGTCCAGCAAGCATTTGGTGATTGACTGGATAGGGCTGGGCAGAGATGACTCCAAAGTCTTGGAAGGGTGAGAACGACCGGGAGTGGCTTCTGGGTGAGAAGGTTCCTGCTTGGCCTCTCCAGGAGGGCATGGGGGAGCTGAAGGACACCAGCTGCCATGCTGAGCAACTGGGCCTTGATCCTGAGACCCTGGGCACAGGTCTAGGGCAGGAAAGTTGACCGATCGATTGTGATCTGAGTTTCTAGACGTGGTGGTACTACATGAAGTGGGCGTTCACGCTAAGAATTTAGGGGGGGAAACCAGTGAAGTCCTTAGCAACACTCCAGGGAAAGCGCATGGCTGCAGAGACTGTCACAAGTAACAGCGTGGTGTACGAACTCTGAACCTCAAATCTGTGGATCTTCAGGAACACCCCGGACTTTACAAGGAAAGTCAGAAGGTGCCGACACAGGTGTGTAACTAAAGGGAAATCCTTCTTTCTCAGCTCCAGCCATGGCTCTGAGGTTCATTCACACTGACTTAAAAAACAATCGCAGCAGTTTACTGAAAAGCAAATAGCCCTTTCTGCAATTCTGCTTTGCTAATTTAATCCTAATTCCCAGACTCTGGCTGAATAAATGCCCTTTTCTTGAACTCCTTGGCCCAAAAGATCCTTGCACCTCAGCCTTCCGAAGTGCTGGGATTACAGTCCTGAGCCACTGCACGCATCCCTGAGACCTCTTTGAGAAGTCTGCTTGCCTCCTCATAAGGGCCACTGTGGTTGTTAAAAGAGAGTCCCCTGCCCTCATCCCGCCTGAGTTTGTTAATGGCGTGGAACATGACCCATCCTGGAGAATGTTACTTGTGCCCTTGAGAAGAACGTGTACCCTGCTGTAGGTGGAGTGTGCAAGCTGCTCCTGGTGGGGCCAATTGGTTTATACTATTGTTCATGTCTTCTATTTCCTGGTTATCTGCCTGGTTGTTTTATCCTATTTTTTTTTTTTTTTTTTTTTTTTGACATGGAGTCTCACTCTGTCGCCCAGGCTGCAGTGCAGTGGCACACTTGCAGCTCACTGCAACCTCTGCCTCCCAGGTTCAAGCAATTCTCCTGCCTCAGCCTCCTGAGGAGCTGGGACTGCAGGCACCCACCACCACCCCCAGCTAACTTTTATATTTTAAGTAGAGACAAGGTTTCACCATGTTGGTCAGACTGGTCTTGAACTCCTGGCTTCAAGTGATCTCCCCTCCTGAGCCTACAAAAGTGCTGGGATTATGGCCTGTTGTGTCCATTATTGAAAGTGGGGCATCAAAGCCCCATTCTCTGTCATAGATCTTCTCCCTCATTCTGTAGAGAGTCCCCATTATCTGTGATAGAATTATCTCCCTCATTCTGGTAGAGCAGGCGTCCCCAAACTTTTTACACAGGGGGCCAGTTCACTGTCCCTCAGATAGTTGGAGGGCCACCACATACTGTGCTCCTCTCACTGACCACCAATGAAAGTGCAGCGGGGGGCCGGATAAATGGCCTCAGGGGGCCGCATGTGGCCCGCGGGCCATAGTTTGGGGAAGCCTGCTGTAGACAGTCCCCATTGTCTGTGGTAGAACTTTCTCCCATATTCTGTAGAGTCCCCATTCT